CAAAATGACAAATGTGCCCCCAGATAGAAACATGTCCAAATGCATATCCCAGAGATCGGCACAGATTATAAAGAAATAACAGACAATTCCAAATGTTCACAAACGAGGACGGGACTTTACTGTGATCATCTTCTCGTTTCTCTCCTGCTCCGTCAGGAGCTTCTGGTTTTCGGAAAGCTTCCCGTTAACTCTCTGCAGCAAGTCTTCAAGAGACCCCTAGGAAAACACCATAACTGAGAGTGAAATACTAGTGCAGTGCTGTTCCGTAAAATGTACAACTTTGCCTTAGCCATTACACAAAGTACAGAAAGAGTACAGTAAACCCTGATGCTTGTTTAAGTTCTGACTCCCTGCATCTCAGACAAGGTAGTCAATAAGTGAAAACACTGCACTGTAAATCTTCCAACTATTCTTTTTTGTCAGTGAAACCTCTTGTAAATGTATTGAACACTCTGTCAATGAGTACTCTACTATGTCAGTGGGGCCCACCAGTCATTTCCCTGGTGCAAGACAGGCAGCCTGGCAAATTATCCAATGTAACATTTAAAACTGCCAGTTCATACTGTATGTCTGCAGCTGTAACAGCCTTAGTCATTTTTCTGTTTTCCATTCTCCTGCTTGACTGGAGCCTGGTATCGTAAATACAGGCTGGCAGTACTTGGGTTATTAATACACTGCTAGATTCTGGAATCCAGAATTGATGCTGCAGTATAAGATCCCAGAATCTAAGCAAGGCTGGTTATTACCTCAATGGGGGACAACAAAGGAAAACCAGGGTTGTGCTTTTCATCCCTAAGGATCCAAAAGCACTTTACATATACAGTAGGATGGGACCAACTTCATCCACAATGTAATGAAGCATCTTTTGAGTGACACACATGAGCTGTTCTGCACCAACAGCTCCACTACACATCAGATCAGAGAGAAGAGAGAGAAACTGTACCCCAGTCTGTACACCAACCTGTTCCAGCAGATCACTGGGAGGAGGGAGAAACTGTATCCTAGACTGTACCCCAACCTACACAGCAGAGCAGGGGGAGGAAAGACAAATTGTACCCCAGACTGTACCCCATCCTGCATAGCAGATTAGAGGAGAGAGAAACTAAACTCCAGACTGTACCCCAACCTACACAGCAGACCAGATGATAGAAAGAAAAATTGTACCCCAGTCTGTACCCCAACCTGTACCAGCAGATCTGGGGGAGGAGAGAGAAACTGTACCCCAAACCTCACCAGCAGATCAGGGAGAGGAGAGAGAAACTGTACCCCAAACTGCACCAGCAGATCAGAGGGAGGAGAGAGAAACTGTACCCCAACCTGTACCTGCAGATCAGGGGGAGGAAAGAGAAACTGTACCCCAGATCGTGCCCAACCTATACCAGCAGATCAGGGGAAGGAGAGAGAAACTGTACCCCAGATTAAGCCCCAACCTGTACCTGCAGATGAGGTAGAGGAGAAAGTAACTGCTCCACTAATTGAACTAAATTGGAACAATAGAGTGGCCAGATTATGAAAGATGGGCATGGAATTTAGCCAGGACACCTAACCTTTAGAGTGTCAAAGGTGTTTTTGTGACTAAACAGTTAGGACCTCTGTTTAATCTGAAGGGTAGCAGCTCACACTGCAGCATACCAAGGCACTGGTGTGGAAATTCAAGTGCAGAGGGGAGAGCAACAACAATCCCAGTATTAACCACAACCTGCCTTTCATAACTTCTGAGATAGCGGGCTAGACTGGTTATACCC